TCAAAGGTCGTTTTGCTGGTTTTCTTGCATGCAATCCTGTTCGAATCAGCGACGGTTGATGCTCTATCGAGAAATATTTTTGTTAGACATGGCCTTCAACTTCATGATTCCAAGGCTCGAAGTCAAAAAAAAATTGCACGATTTATCTTTTTCAACAAATGAAAAGAATTCTTGAATTCTTTGAGTTCATAAAATGCAGGGAAAGCAGCACAGTTATAGAGAGGCTTTTTTTTGTACATACCAAAGAAGCGTTCCAAATTTTTTCTTGGACCAGATGGAGTCTAGTTAGGAGTCTTGTCTCTTAAGCGAAAGGTCGAGGGTTCAATCACATTGGCAAGATAAAGATGTTTCTTAAGATGATAAAGATAAAGATAAAGATGTTTCCCACCAAGTGGGTTTTTTCTTTCACAATATTTGGGTAATAAGGGTCATAGAGGTAACGGCCGCAGTGCTTTAAAATTGTGTGGTTAGACCTTTATGTCTTATTATGTATCCTTTGTTTGTATCACATTATTGTTTTTCAATAAATGTACTTTTTTTTAAAAATACCGTTAGTAACCTCGTTAGTAAATAACTCAAGGGAAATAGAAAAATCTATTTACTATCGAGGTTTTGACTCAATCTGTCTCTAAAATGCTCTAAACACCTTGAAAAATCTTTAGTATAACTTTTGGTTGGCAACTAAACAACACAATTCTTAATTACAACAACTTTATTCAAAAACAACCAATGAAGTGACTTAAATAAATTGAGCTAAATTATTTTGTGAAAAAAATAATTTATTTTTGCTTGTTTGGCCTGTTGAGTCGATCGCTTCTAGAAGAAATCTTCAATTTTCTTTTCAATTTTCTCGAGTTTGCAAGTTGATAATAAAAATGAAATGCACAGCAGAAAGCGGAAACGGTCAAGAAACGCAAATTCTTTTAGGAGAAATAGCTCAACTTTTGTGGTGGAATTTCAAGCTATTCAGTGCCGGTGACTATTTAACTTTAAATATAAATGTTCAAATTTAAATACAGGTGTGTAATACACAATTTGCATTTGAATTGAGTACACAAAACTTTATTTTTTACTATCGAGATTAAATTCAATGTTTTTTTGTTAAAGGGGTACTAGAAAAGTACTAAAGAGTTTACTAAAGAGCTTTCAGTTCTTTTCCGTTATACATCCGCCAAATTTGCATCCGTTTATGATTTGCAAATTTGGATTCTTCTGGTCGACCGCTCGGCCAAAACCCTATTGAAAGCAATAATTGAACCCAGCGAGCTGGGAACCCAAGTTTACTCCGATTTTTGGAGAGGATAAAACACTCAACAGATGGTGGAAGCCGGTTTTGCCCACGCTCAAGTCAACCACAAGTACAACTTCCTGAATCCGAATGACCCTGCCATTCACACGCAGACGATCGAGCGCCTATAGGGATCTGCCAAATGGAGAAACAAGAAGCATCGGGGCACGACACGTCATTTCCTATCGAGCTACCTCGCTGAATTCATGATCCGACAAGAAGTAGGAAAGGACGTTTTCTACGAATGGGTGTTGCAACAAATTGCTACGGCATGAATTCCTCATTCATCTTATTTTAATGTTTATTTTTTGTCTATTTATTTTTAATTTTACTTAAATTGATCGATTTTTGATTTAAATGGTCAGGGGTTATTTTTGGAGTTGTATAATATAACGGAAAAGTACCGAGTTTTCTACTAACGAGGTTTCACTCTATGTATTTTATTAAGAAGTTTGCCGGGAGTTTTCAAAATCTATTTACTAAAGAGTTTTCTAGTAACAAGGTTTGGCTGTATATAAAGCATATCAGCCACAAAGACTTCTCAAATTCATTTATTTATTCATTTTTGATTTGCATTATTTTCAAAGATCCATAAAAGTTCAAAAGTAAGCGAGAAAGGATCAAAGAATTTTATGGTTTTCTAGGAATTCTTTCTTCATTTGTTCATTTGCCTCCGTCAAAGCGACCAAATAAAATTATCCCATTCATTTTCTTGATTACCCAATTTTTCATTTCAAACAACTTTTTCGATTGAGCTAAAGTAACCGCTTTTATCGACTATTTTCTATGTTATCGATAACGAAAAACGAATTTTGGAGAAATTATCACGATCTCTTGATCTTTGCCATTTTATCAACTGGTTTAATCGGTTTATTAGATAACTTTTCTTTTTACTATTGAAATTTTAGTCACATATGCAGCGCTGGGAATCGCGTATTGGATAATCGTGGATTGTCAACGGAAAAATTACGAGGATTTAGATGATGAGTCGACGAAACTTGTTAAGGATTTTATATGGAAAATGACATCGATTGTAAGTTTGGGCATTTTGCTATCAACATTCAAATTATCTAATTTTAAGTCTAATTTTAAATCGAGTTAGACTTGAACTTTAGTCGTTTACAGGTTTTGGGTTTAAGCCTTATCACAACTCCACTAGCGATTTATTATGCGGCCACAAATGATCAATTGTCGTTTCCGATTCGGTGAACTTATTTCTTCAATAATCCGTTACATTTGTACTCAAATTTTATTACGTTATTGCTTTCGAAAAAGTTTAAAAGTTTAGAATCTATCGCCTCTGTGATCTATGATTTTAGTTTGAAGATTGTGAACAAAAGCACTTTCCCAGAACCGAAAGAAATGTTCAGACTGCTGGCGAGTGCGGAAAACGCGAACAAATTTCTCTACGCAATTTTCCAAGGACTTTGGTGGATTTGCAATGACAATGATGCCCCATTCACACCAAAAACAGACAGCCTTCAGAATCAGTCTCAGGTAGATGTTCATACGAAGTAAACGCAACGTTTGCCTTTCTTCAAACGATCACTGACGAATACAATTTAACGGATATGGCTCAATATTGTCAATTCTTGATATCAATAAGGTGACTTATCAAAAATCTTACCAAAAAGATTTACTTGCTTTCAGTCGTTTCTTTGCTCTCGCCTTTGATGGTAGCTATTTCAAATACACGATGAGGTGGCCATTTGCGCAACTTATCTTCCCGTACTTTTTGAGAATATTATTACAACTATTCACTGGTTTATTTTATAATTTTGAAGAAGAAGAGGGCGGTAGCTTCTACAATTGGATAAACGATTTCCTCACATCGATTCCTTATCTGATGGCGTGTGGCCTAGATTTTGTGACGGGAAGGAGGATGAGACAGGTGTTGAAGATGTGTTAATTGTGTTGAATTGAGAGAAAAAATTGAAGATGAGAGGATGAAGATGTGTTAATTGTTACAGTACACTTCAAAGATTCAAGGGATTGTAAGCTGGATCAGGTCTTTTTGCAGACAGGAACTGCATAAAGCCTGACAAAGTGAGAACTGGTTTGATCAGGATAGATATGAGTGCTTGCAGACAAGATTACACAGACAGACAGGATCGATATAATTGCTTGCAGACAAGAATCACGGTCAATAAGTGTCTGGCTTCTGATCTAACTTTGACGGTTATCAAACATTTGATAATGCTGCCCCTTTTGCCATTGGCAATCTAACTTTGAGCTCAAATTTCTCGATATTTGGCTGTCCAATTTATAAATTCATGGTATCATTGGATGCGCCAAGTCTTTCTCTATCAATTGGTACAAAAGCTATTTCAATTGGACAGCCCAACACCAAGAAATTTGAGCTCAAAGTTGGATTGCCAATGGCAAAGGGGTGGGAGATGAAATGCCCCACAACTCTTGCCTAGTCTGGCTCAGAAAAATGTCTTGGAAATAATCCTGAGTATCTCATTGGTTTGGGGTATTTGTCTAAACCAGTAAATTGTGCTGGCTTACAATCAGTTTAATCTTATACCTGTGAAGCTAAAAATAAGACTTCATTTTAGTGGAAGGGTCGTGAAAAGCCGTTACGGTCGGAGATGCTGTTAACAATGCAAGTAAGAATTAAAAAATTACGAGAATATACCTTTTCTGAACGAGCATTTAGATGATCACAACATCTTGCCTTATCCTTATCAACTATTACCTTGCATATGTCATCTCAATCTTTATCGTCATCTATGTCGGATGGAATTTACAAGACGTTTTCGACGAGCTAATCAATTTCAATCAGTGCTTTCTCTTTCATCTTATAGCCAGGTCAGTTTTCTTAGCTTTTTGAAATCTTTACTCATTTTTAGCATCATCAGTGTTTTATTTCTTCGAAAACCTCGGGAAAACCTTTCAACGAACACTCGAAAGATCAGCGTCGGTACCACGCAATGAGTCTTTTTGTGGAATCTGATGAAATTCCGATTTTGAAGAATTTAGCTGTTGCAGTTGGACAAATTCAAATCCAAGTTCCATATTTTAAAAACACAAAAGTCTTTTCCTTGCCCAAAAGAAACATCATTGTGCTAATCATCAAAAAATTTAAAATCTTTACTTGAAAAAGATTTATAACCATGTTGATAAGAAATCATAAAGGCATCAAATCCCTAGCTTGACAAAATTCTCAAGTTCTTCAGATATCTTTTGAGTAACTTGTGGTCGTTGTGGGTCCAACAGAAGCTTTAGTTTTTGTTGTATAAGCTGACGATGCGGATTGTTCGCTTCTTAAAATAACATTAATGAAAAGCTATTGAGGGTAATTTCTTGCCTTTGTTTTCGCGAAATGTTAAGTCCAAGTCTTCGGAAAATACCCACAGTCGCGTGTCGATAGTCGGCTTAAATTTCACGTTAAAACAAGCAAAAAAAAAATCTACAACTCACAGATGAAATAGATTAAAACAAGTGGATCGAAAATTGGCGGAATCCATAGAAAATGATCATAGATGAGCCCGAAACGACCGACTCCAAGGCCGACAATTGGACCAAGAGTTAGCGCCATGAATGGGAAATAGATTGTGAGCAATGGGACACCACTCTGAAATTCATAAATTTAATTTATTCCCTAAACCTAAAGATATTCAAAGAGTTTACTTTAAAGAAAATGATTCTAATGGCTATTTTGAATCATTAGCCCAATTAGACATGAGAAAATTCCAATCCGAACCTAATTCCACCTTCGTTTTCTCGATCGTTTCTTGGCAGATTGCTCTGAAATTTTGTCTACAAGCAGAGAATACCAATTTCTATTTGTAAACAAAATTTTAGAACAATCGGTCAAGAAAACGAAGGTGAAATTAGGTTCGGATTGGAACCTCCCCATGTCTAAGCCCAACTAGGTTCGTTACTTTGTCGTTATAAATCAGCTATTAAGTTCTAAAAGCTCTAAAAAAAAGCTCTAAACAAGCTAAAGAACTTTGCAATCTTGAAGTTTGTCCAAAATCTACCATCAATAAGAGATTTGCCTACCAAAATGATAAGCGAAACAAAAAAGCTGTCTTTGTAATCGTTTCGTTTTCTCACTCGCCACCACGTTTGCCATCCCATAGTAGGTTCGGTATCCACAAAAACACATCTAAAGTAGCTATTTGATTGAAATCCTGTAAAAATACAGGTTTCCTTTAACAATTATATTCTTAAATTTGTTTACCAGACATAAAGTTCTTGAAAAATCAAAGAATTTTTCTTGTTTTTCAACACAAAAGCTTTTCTCCTAGAGTCTCACGTGCTCAAATCAGGGTGAGATTCTTTGAGTTAGCAAGAGTACGGGGTTTTGAACTTAAAAGAATGGTGAAAAAAGAATGAAAAGTCATTGGAACGGCACGGGGGTTAGTGGGTTCCGGGTCAGCTAACGTGTGAAAGCACAACTCATGCAAACTTTTGAGTGTTTTGTGTGTGTTTTCGAATTCATCATCACTTTAGAACCATTTTCTTTTCTGTCGGCTGATGGATAGTATGGCGGTGGAACGGGATTTGATGCAAACTTTTGAATTCAAAAATCATACAATACAGAATAATTTCATTTTTCAACTCTCTTAACAGATCTCTTCTATTTTCACAACAGTGAAGCTTTAACTATTTAAAGATCTAAGAAAATGAAGTAATAGAGTTGGATCCGGTTACTAGAAACTCTATAATAAATCCCCGGAAATGAAAATCCCGTAATCCGTCCGGGGTTTGGTTTAATTGCAAGCTGTATTCACAATTTAAACAATTTTTTATAAACTTTAGCTGTAACTCATGAGCCAAATCAATCGGTTCTCTCACGCAAGGTACAGAAATTTTTAAGTGTTCAAGAACATCATGCCACAAAGTTTTTTCTAAGAAACTAGGCTTTTCTCAGACGATTTTTATCTACTTTGTGCGTGAGAATTGAGTAAAGTACGAGCTTTTGTATTTCAAAGAGTGATAAACAAACCATTATTAATGTTGAACTGGTGGCCACAGCAACGAGCAACATTCCCGACCAATCTTTGTACTGTGGCTCAAGTTGGGTGCCGTAGAGGATCTGGATTTACTGGGTTCACTTTGTTTGATGGTTTAGATTTTTAAAAGGCAGTCCATAGGTTTACCAGACTGATTTCTAGACATGGGCACTATAAACTACAAAAATAACGAACCGTCACACTACAAACGCTTGTAACTTGCTTCAAATCTACCGGATTAACACGATCTATAGCTCAAAAAATAGAAAAGCTCAAGAGCTTTTGAATGGACTAAAGCACACGGAAAAACATCAATGCTAAAAAAAGTTACAGTGGTTTGTAGTATGACTCGATAGCTTCGACTACGCGCGAGTACGGTCCGTTTCGAGTGAGGCTACAAACCACTGTAACTTTCTTTAGCATTGCTGTTTTTCTGTGTGCTTTAGTCCATTCAAAAGCTCTTGAGATTTTCTATTTTTTGATCTATAGATCATGTTAATCCGGCAAAAGAAAGTTAGAAGCGTTTGTAGTTTACGTTTGTAGTTTATAGTGCCCATGTCTAATTGACGTTATCCGAACGTCTTTTGTGACATCAAGATCTCCGAATCTGATTTTCTTATATGAATTTATCTACAAATTTAATAGATAACTTATGAAATTATAATAAATCTAACAAAATTTGGAAATAATTGTTAACTTTTTACGTGAATTATTCCACTTGATGAAACGATTACGGTACTTTTCGGCAAACTAATAAATTTACCAATACTTTTAAAACATTCAATCAGTTTTTTAACAACAATTCTCTTTTCCGCTACTTTATGTGATTTTTGGTTTACCCAGAAAGTGCAGTAGACCGTTTAAAAATGGATTAACACGTCAAAGTTTTTTTCAAATAAAATCTCCAAGAACTAAACTATGCAAATTTTAGTTGCTTACAAAGATTGTAAGCTTTTTCTAAGTCTTTTTTGTTCCTTAAAATGATCAACTCACCCAATAATGCGGTCCAACATAACCGCGGTTTGTCATGTTTAGATTGTAAGCTCGCAAAACATCCGGAAACAGTAACCGTTCTTTTTCGATTGACATCCCCAAGAAACCGACACAACCAATCATCCAAGCAGTTAAACCTGAATTCCTTTATTTGAAATAAAAAGCAAATGCTTACAAAATAGCATGTAGCCAAACCAAATTGATTGATAGTAGCCGGTTAAGAGGTAGCCATGACGATAGCTGAAAAGAAATGTGTCGTTTAAAATGCCAATCTCTACTTTGCCAATCTTCTTGCCAATCTCTACAAGTTTGTTCTTTCCCTAGTCAATTAAGGTAATATTAAATGCTTGATCCATTTGGCCCGTTAGATCTTTTGGCTTTGATACTAGAGCGACCTGGTACTAATCCGGTATCAAATACAGAAGATATAGGCGATCTGATAGCCTTTTTTAAAAGACTTTCCTAATTTAACTTTATCTGCGGAAAGTCAATGATTTTGACACTGAGAGAACAATATTACCAGACTATCACTAACATATTCATAATCCATGAGAATCTACAGGGTGTTCAGTATTTACGGCGACTTCTTTTTGGTAGCTTAGCTCCCAAGCGCCAATTTCAACCCTAATTTGTTAGTATTATATAAAACATTGAAGTTCTTGACTACATTTTTCTATTAAAAGTTTCTTGATTGGAGATATACAACTCATTTTACAAGCACTTGAATGAGTATCGCCAAAAATGGTAGCGTACCAGGATGCGATCAACTAGTACTCATTCAAGTGCTTGTAAAATGAGTTGTATATCTCCAATCAAGAAACTTTTAGTAGATAAATGTAGCCAAGATTAAGGGCTTTAATGTTTTATATAGCATTAACAAACTAGGGTTGAAATTGGCGCTTGGGAGCTAAGCTACCAAAAAGAAGTCGCCGTGTAGTTTAAGTACTGGAGTGATTTAGTGCTAGAACCAGTGCTTTGATAGCCGGATTTATTAGAGGTATTTTTATAGACAACTAAGGTATAACATAGCAAAACTCACTGGCAAATTTGAATGTAACGATAGACGAAATGAACGGCCAACACAGCGAGACTCATTCCAAAACAAGAGGAAACGAAAGAACCCCAAACCATTTGAGCTGAAAATTGCTAGTAAATCTACTAGTAAACAAAATTTCAGACTCAATTTACCATATGTAGAGAAAAATCTCATCGCATATCCGCCGGGAATCAAAGTGAAATAGTAATCGCCAGCGTAGAGAATCTGAAAATTTTCCTATTGAGTCAAATTGATTTTGCTAACCGGCACAGTAACACTTTGCGTTGTTGAATAGAAAATGTTATATAAAGTAAGAAATTTTAGAATTCTTTTATAGATCCCAAAATCGTGTTTCGTTTTGCATGTGATGAAATAGAAAAGCAAAGCGTTGAGGAAAACGGTGACAAAAGTCAGAAACCAGGCGGCCGGCTCGTGAGCTCTGGAAATGATGTTATTTTTAAACTTAAATAATTCTTAATGTAATTTTTAACTTTTCTAGGCCAAATACTTTTTCCCGACACACTGTAATGAAAAAAAGAAGCAAAATTTTTACAGTATTTTTCAAGTAGCTTTGTCAAGTAGCTCTGCTTTGTCTAGAGGCTACCGTAGCCCAGCTACTAGATGTGACACTGTGGCTGTGAATACCTTAATCTTAAAGATTACTGTAATAACGTCTATGGAAATGCATCGAGATATAAACTAGGTTACGGTAACTGAATCATGCTTTAGAGCCATAGGCCAAATTGGACATGGGAAAATTCCAAACCAAACCGAATTCCACCTTTGTTTTCTCGACCGTTTCCTGGCCCATTACTCTGAAATCAAGCAGAAAATTTCGATTTCTATCTATAGACAAAATTTCAAAGCAATAGGCCAAGAAAACGAAGGTGGAATTAGGTTTGGCTTGGAATTTTCCCATGTCTACCCCAAACCCATTCAGAAAAGTTCAAAAACTAAAGATTTGTTCATTGATGAGAATAACTTATCGTATTTCCTCTAATAAGCATCCCCCTGCACCTCGACCAACTTTAGACGCCTCGTTCCCAGTCTCATTTTGAGACATTTTTATGTTTAATATACCAAAAAATAGAAGACATTAAGGGCTATCTTTTAGTATACTAAACATAAAAATATCTCAAAATGGGGCTAAGAACAAAGCGTCCAAAGTTGGTCGACGGGGGAGGCGCTTATTAGAGAAAATACGGTATGTAAACAAAAATTCATTCAAATGTTGCAAATTCTTGTGATCTCCGAATATTTCAATTATGCTTGAGCAACTTTTCCACTAGAGTACATTCAATGGAATCTCTTGAGAGTCATTTCCTTTTTGGGAGGTTCAAAAACGAAGCCAAAGAGGAATTTTAAGTGAAAAAGTTGCTAAGCGTTACCTGAGTATCAAATAATAAATCGACATTTCTACTTAAAAGACAGCCTTCAATAGATGAATACTAAAATATGGTAGATCAGGAAAAAGAACAATTTTTGTTCTAATGCAAAATATTGTCATCTACCACTGAAGCTTGAGAACAAAAAGTGTTATTTGCATTTTAAATGAGGGGTTTTGCTTATATTTTCTCGAAATCAAAACTTTAACCTATAATTTGCGCTGCGTTTCTGTCTACTGGGTGACCGCAAATTAAAGCGACCACTTCTGAGGGTTTTAGTTAGTTTAATCAAATTCCACGACAAAAAATCGAATTTCTATGAGGTGTTTAATCTTTTTTTGTCTTAAACGTGAGCATATTCATTAAATAACTTCAAAAACGACTCTCAAAAACCTTAACGTGGGTTTTTTCGCCAAGTGTATCGCAACTCTAAACTTTGTAAGATCATATAAAGATTCTAGAAGCACCAATCAGTTAAAAAATGAATTTGGCTACAGAAGACATATTCAAAAATCACCTCCAGAAATTTCATACGGATTCATTGAGTTCTGGCTGAGCTAGACTTTGATAAGTGAGTCGCTATCGTTTGCGGTCACCTTGTAATCCGAACAGGCGATCTATTTTGGACCTGTCGACAGAAACCGAACACACTCATTCATACTTTAGAAATAAGCAAAATGGTTCCTGTGTTTCTAGGCTTAAGCCTAAATCAATCCGAGTACTTGAAACTTTGGTTTTATGTTACCTGTAATATCCAAGTCACCCTGTAAATTACAGAAGTGAAAAACTGATCCTTTTGCTTTTGCCGCAAGTTCAGCATCCATACAAGTATTAGTTTAAAAGCCCTTGACAATCTTTTGAACTAATACTTGGTGCAAGAAATCGAACCACTCAAAGAAGTTTGAAACATTTATATTTGAATGTAATGAGGGTAGGGTTATTAAACGATTTAAAACCGATTTTACTTGGTTAAGTTAGAGCAGAGATCAAGCCAAAATCCTGATTTGGTCTAGTTCAAGTTCAAGGCTAATTTAATTTCAAGGCAAGCCAGGATTCTAACCTACCCTAATCTGTTTTATTGGCTTTCTGGCTTTCTGACTTTAGGAACAATCAAAATTAGTCCTGAAACCAGATCCAGAATCAATGTGGACCTACCAAACAAACCATTTAACTTACAATTACAATAATCACAACTTACTTGAAAATGAAATTGATAACAATGTCCATTTCAAATTTCGTTTCAATCCTAGATAATAGTTTCAAAATAACTTCTGAAAAGTGAAACGAGTGAAAAGCTTTATCTGAAAGAAAGAATTGTATCTCTGGAAGTGAACTGGAAGAATCACACGGTAATTTGAGCACGTGAAACACAAAAAGACAAAAACACAACTAACGAACCGAGAATTTGGGATTTCAAAGCTTTCTAAGAATGCGAATTTCATGTTATGGTCTGTGCATAGTCCACGGTAATTTAAAGGATTGTCTTTTACTCAAAATTTGAACAAAGATCGGGAAAATGTGTAGGAACTGATAAATTCAAGAACTCTTTGTGGGATTTTCATCGACATTTTCAAAAAACCTATTGGAGAGTGAAAATTGAACGATTTTGTCTAAGAGCCAATGCTCCTTGGTTTTTAAAATCTAAAAGAATTTCAAATTGGCTTTATCTGTCTAATAGTTTCAAAAGTTTAATCAATTTCTGGTCTTGGTAAAAGTTAGAATGGAACCTTGGGGACTACTCATAATTGGGCTTTCGGGATCGCTAGAGCTTTTATCTAGTTAGTTAGATTAAAAAAATTGCAATTTGCTGTGCATTGAGATAACAATAATTGCAGGGAATCAACAAAATCAACCTTTAAACTTTAAGTGATTGTTAAAATCTGTTATAGATTTGGTTACAACTGTATTTGTATAGCTGTTAGACGACAGTTATATTTGTACAATGCTTACAATAACAACAACATACAATGCTGCAATGCAACAACAACATACAATGCTGCAATGCAACATCAACATACAATGCTGCAATGCAACAACAACATACAATGCTGCAATGCAACATCAACATACAATGCTGCAATGCAACAACATACAATCCTTGCGTGAAATACACTCATCAAGGCGTTCATTAAATTATTAATATCACATTTTTTTTATGAACAGATGAAATCGATCGCCATTTCGACAGCTAAAATGCGCTTGGACTTTGAACCATTTATCAACCAATTGAATAAATGTTGCTCCAATTTGACTAAGAAACTGTTTCAAGTTAAAATTGAAGTTAAAAGTTAAAAGGGAAGTTCAAATGGATTCGAGATCTGAGACCTGCACAAACGTCCTCTTAAAATTTTAAAGAATGTGCTCTTAAAACATGTGCTCTTCAATTTTACTCAATGCATTTAAAGCTTTCGAGAAAAACACACTTTATAGTTTGAACACTTTTTGGAAAAACAGAGCCACGACGATATGTGCGAGAATTACTTTCCCTCCAACAGTGACCAGGGTCCAGTATCACCACACTGTTTTAGCTTAAAACACTATTTTACCACACTGTTTTAAGAGGTGTTTACGCGTGCACCGCTAAAACACCATTTTACCACCAAAAAACACCGTTTTAGTTGAGGTGTTTTAGCTAAAACACCATTTCACCACCATTTTAAAACACTATTTTCTTTTTGATAAAACAGTGTTTTAGCACCAAAAAGCTAAAACCTCTTTCGGAGTGTTTTAGCGAAAAAACGCAAATTGATCTTACTTTGGAATCAAGCGAGTCAATTCATAGTCATATCCAAAAATCCCAATAAACTCAAAACTTTATGCATATACATAGTAACAGTAGAAGTAAATAAGAGAGCAAGAAGAGAAAAAACCAAAAAGAAACTATTTTAGAAGCAAAAACATTTAAAGGAAATATTTGTCAACAACAAACCCTGAAAGGCACTTCCGTCAGTTATCCCTGGATCGAGGTCTATTGAATCATCCGGAACAAAATCGTCAAACTCGGGTTCAGCTTCCCCAATGCAAATGTTCCGGAAACAGACAGCAGCCAAAATTATTAGGTTGTCGGGTTTTGAATGCGAATTTTTTGCAAAAATATTCTTTTCAAGAAAACGGAGTTATTAAAATTAGTCCAGTTTGTACCATTAGGAAAGGTAAATCTTTGTTCTACAGCGGACTTTTAGCGTTTTTGAAAAGCTTCATTTTTGGCAATTTTTTCAGAGATCCAAAGACAAGTAGTCAGAATCGTCAAAAATCGAAACTCGCCGACAACTATCTTATTTGTGGAATTGATTTGGAACACGGCAAGAGACAAAGCTTTTTTTTTTCAATTTTTTTGTTATAAATTATAATAAATATTCATTTTTGCGAAAAATTCACATTCAAAACCCGACAACCTAATATGTGGCTAATAGATTTGCTTAATATAAAGTCCAAAACAAAGTTACAACAACAATAAAAGTTTTGGAAATCGCTTTTGCAAAGAGCAAAAGTTTTACCAAAATCCAGGCTCGAGCTAGGGCCAAGAGGTTGAAAGCCTAGCGCAATTACCACTTGGCCACAATGACATATCTTCGAAGAATGCAAGATCGCTTGATACTCGCGCGGTCAGATAATTAGCGCAACAGTCAAAAGTTGCTTTTTCACACAAAAACTTCAAACGGATTTAAATCGAATTTGAACCCATTACACACAAACGACCTAGATACCGTATTCTCTCTAATAGTAGTGCGCACTACTATTTTTTCAACTCCCTCCTGGACCACAATACTACAGTCCGTTTCATATTTCTTTATCCACCCCCCAAAAAGAGGTTTTATGGAGAATGGGTGGAGATATCGAGCTATTTTCTTTTGCAATAGAAAGACCATATTGTAAAACCCTAAAAACACCGTTTTTGGGTTACTGGATTTTCTCAACAAAAAAAAAAACTAAGAAAGAAGATTCTGCGACCGTTTCACATTTCTTTATCCACCCTTAGGAACTTTGAAAATCAACATTTATTTAGCACTAACAACAAATAAAAAAGACATCAAGAATGGTGAACATAACAACTAATAATCTGATATAGCACCGGACCGGTTAATAACTTGATAGATTCGCTTATTCATACTTTTGATAAGGTTTTGGAGAGCCGTGGCGTCAATACGATTCCAGGCAATCTGAGTTGATGCTTTTAGTTCCGAAACGGTCGTAAATTGTCTCTTATGTTTGTAAACATCCCTGACAAGGATTCCCCACAGGTTTTCGATGGGGTTAAGATCCGGGGATCGTGCTGGCCAGCCCAAGATGTTGATTCCCTGCGAAGTCAACCAGGCTTTTGTATGAGCGGAGCGATGAATTGAAGCATTGTCATGCTGAAAAGTGTAGACAGTCGCGACATTTTGCTGAATGAAAGGCAGAAGAGTATCTTTGAGCACTTCAGTATAATCTTGACTGTTCATTTTGCTGGAGACAAATTTCAAAGCGACCGTTCCATTGGTGCAAAAGGCAGCCCAACACATCACACTTCCTCCTCCGTAGTTACGTGTTCCGAAGATCAGTGGATCCTGTCTCCAGTCTCTCCTCTCCAGTGTCTCTCCAGTAATGCGAAACACCGTCTGGTCCGTCAAGATTCTATTTTTTTCATCAGAAAAGATTACCTAAATAAAAACCGTTATGTCAGAGTACAGCATTTCCCAATCTTGCTCCAATCAAAGTTCATATGATTTGCGGCAAAGTCTAGACGTCCGTATCCAAAAGAAAATAGCTCGATATCTCCACCCATTCTCCATAAAACCTCTTTTTGGGGGGTGGATAAAGAAATATGAAACGGACTGTATTAGAGAGTGCACTACTATTAAAGAGTTTTATCATTTACCAAAGTAAGACAGATATAACATTTGTTCCAAAAATTCTTGCAAAAAAAGCAACTTTCTAAAAATTTGTTGGTTTCTGATAACAAAAAGTTAACTAGACAAAAAATCTACAACAGAATCATCATTTGAATCATCATCCTTATCCAGTTCAATATTTTTGAGTTGATCCTTTACTCCGTTGATCGATTGTTCAAGACGAGCATTGGCGAGAAGTGTTGCGCCTTCAGGAATCGGTCCTTCTTTTTGAAGCAATGAATGATGCCATCTTCAGAGCCATCAGTAGCTGTGGTAATTGCACAACTCTTGAACGATCTTATGATGAGGCTTTTTGGGAGCTCGTTCCAAGCATTCCAAACCCGTGTCATTTTTCGTGTCACTCGCATCTCCTTTGCCCGCATTTCTTGAATCCAAGCAACAAGATCCTTGTCAAAATCGATATCCTTGAGCTTTCGTCCACCGCCTTTGATTCGTTTTTTTTCCTTTTCCGTTATCTCTGTTTTGTTTCTCGAGTTCTTCCTTTTGCTGACACCATTTCGGATGTTTTGACGACTGACTCCAAATTTTCGCGCCGCAGCCGACTTATCTTTTATTTTTTCAGCAAAATCAATCGCTTTCAGCTTTGTTTGAACGTCGAAACATCGTCGCTTTTTCGCGGATGGTGCATCCGACTCACACGAAGACTCCTCGGCAACATCGTCGGCCATGTTGTAGCTAGCAGCTTGCTCGGTCACTTGATTGTGGATCATCTTGAAGAATTGTACATGTTCCTCGTGTTCACGACGAGCTCAAAAATTCTCGAATTCATCAAGCGAGTTCCCATCGAGATTCATACCTAAAGAAAAAGAATATTTAGACAATAGTAAAGGGTGACCAACAAAAATTATATAAGAACAAAAATTATATAATATTAAAATCGAGCATGATGGATTATTTTCTAGGATTGAGCTTTGATAACAATAAAGTTAAGCGCCGCAAAAGGTAAGTCAATCTCAAACTTTATACAGGTATATAAGAGCAAAAATGACTATAGCTTTGCGCGAAATTCGTAAGAAAATTTGAGTTAATGTACCACTAAAACAACGTCTGGAAACAACAAAAAAAATGGCACTTTACACAACAATTTTAGTTTTTTTGCTCACTTTTTCAGGTGAAGAATAGTTAACAAATGAATAAAAAAAGCCTCACTTTTGCTTGCTTGAATAGCTTTAGAATGTCACATAAACATAAAGATATTCAGTCAAAAAGGTTTAGATGAAAAAGAAGCACAATAAATGCAAATTTTCAAGAGTGCACTACTATTTTTTCAATCTCCTCTCGGACCGCAATACTATTAGAGAGTGCACTACTATTAGAGAGAATACGGTATTCGGAATCAGCGAAAAATTTGCCACGAAATAGGCTAGGTCTCACTTTGAAACTGGTGGTAAATAAACAACGATCCCTAGTGAGTCAAGGGTGAATGGCTAAAGTATTCGTTATAATTTGTTTGTCTGTAAATAATTACGCTTGATTTTAAATGCAAAGTGACTTTTTAGAGAAAATGGACAATTTCAAAGTTGAGTTTGGCATCTGCATTTTCTAGGGGCCAGTTAGGGACCTGGTTGTCGACTCTTTACAACTTTTATCCATAGTCCAGTCTCAATTTCTATACTGATTGTGTCAAAGCAAAAAAAAACGCATAAGTAGCCAAGTAGTTCAACTTTTTGTGATGTTTCACGCCGAATTGTGGCCACTTTTTGCACGCCGTGCACCCGTCTCGTTTCTCGATTTAAACAGCCGCGATGTGGTGATTTTGTTTTCGCTTGCGTTTTGTAACATCAACACAGTGACCAAACTGAAAATTTTCTTACATCAACAACTCAAGAAAAAGTGGTTTTCTTTGATTTTTGACCTGATCTAATTGGTCCAAAAATTTATAGCATTTTCAACTTTGACTTTGATTATAAAAACGACTCAAGAATCCCTGAAGAATTAGGTTTTTAACAAAATGAAATGGAAATTGCTTTCAAAGCGACATTTTTTAAACTTAAAATTTTCATTATTGTCTTAAAATTGACCAAAATTGACTAAAATTGACTTCAGAATGCACTTTTTCTACTCTAAAATTGAAAAGAGGAAATGAAAAATGTTTGAGGTAATAAAAGTTCGAAAAGTTTTGCCTCTAGACTTGTAAAGATAATTACAAGGTAAAGGGAGACTTACACTCTCTCGGAACTTTACAGATATTCAACTTTTCAATGTAAAAGTGAATTCTTTGAATTGAGTCTTCCGCGAAAACCGAAAACTCACCCTTGAAAAAGTTGGCCAAACGAAAACATGAGCACATTTCCGACGTAATACGCAATATCGGAAACAATCGGCTTCCACGATAGGAAACTAGCATAAAAGATTGGGCAAATCAAATAGGCAAATGTATAAGGCACATTGTTGGCAATGATCTGCAAAAGTGGAAAATTTTAAGGCTAATTTTCAAAGATGATCCACTCAAGCAAAAGGCCAAGTAGACTAAGCCAAGAGGATGGCCGAACAAGGATCAAATCTGGCTTATGGTGTACCCAGGTCGCCAAATGTGTCATCGGGTCGCCAAATGCATTCTAGCAAACAACTTTTGCTTTCTAAAACGTGGATACAATGTGATTTTACGCTTTAGAAAACAAAAAAAAGCGTTTGCTAAAATGCATTTGGCGATAGCAGGTCTGACCAGTTTTTGAACAGCATTGCTTGCTCAGAAAAATTTGATAGAAAGTAATTACAAAGAGAAACTCACCTGAGCTAATAAGTACAACTCGCTGCTCAAACTGATGTTTCGCTTTGCGTTCTAAACATAAAAGACTAATCTTTCACAAAACCAAAATATAAAAAAAGACTTTATAAACAGTTTGGATCTACCATTTTTCAAAATTTAGCTCACTTTATCAATTCTTTGAGATGACTCTGAATCTATCACTCACCATCATTTTATAGATTAACATAAAATCGAGTGCCATCGTTGAAGAGACCATAAAGATTCGCACAATAACTAAAGCAATAACTAATTTGTTAATGATTTTAAACTACGATCAGACTAAAACATACGATATGGATTGATAAATCTCTGAGTGGTATATCCAATCACACAGGCTAGCCCGATTTGCAACCAGGGATATTTTTGCACACGATGATAGTAGATACCGTTGAAAGAAAGGGCGACAAGGCGATTCAACGATAAAACTGGAATCGATTGAATGCCTAGGCTGATTATGGGACATCTTATATACGCCCCGCCCCTTTTCCCATTAGCAACCGAACTTTGAGCTCAAATTTCTTGGTGTTGGGCTGCCCAATTGAAATAGTTTTTGTACCAATCGACAGAGAAAGACTTGGCCATCTAATGATATCAATAATTTATAAATTGGACAGCTCAACACCGAGATATTTGAGCTCAAAGTTAGATTATCGATGGCAAAGGCAAAGATCAAATCTCCGATAACCCATAGGCTTACCAATTTGGAGATATCCCGATGCATATAAAGTGGAACGACCGAGCAAAAGCAATACCCAATAATTCACCTCTTTTAGCAATCCGTCAGTGGTACAACTTGGAAATGAAGGCACTCTAGAAATTGCAACAATTCCTGGATCTTGACAGATCCCAGTCTTGATTCTCAAGTTCAATTCTCGAGCTCAAGGTTTCGAGACATTTCTGACACCTATCGTAACTTGAGAAGTTGAAAAATTTAGGAGCTCTAAATTTCTAGGTTTACTCACATTAGCGGTAGCTGACAAAAAGAGAAAATGGTCATGTAAAGTGACCAAGCTGAGCGAACGAGTGAATCGGCCATGAGCAACCAACGAACAATCCTTGTGATGAGTCGACTCTTCCAACACAACCAAACACTTAGCATATTCGTTAAAACGGAAAGAATTGAGAACTAAAGTTAAGAGATTTGAAAAGAAAATTAAAACGAAACTATAGTAATTAAAGCTATGGCTCTGGTTTACTTAAGCTACTCAAAGTCGACTTTTGTCCCTAGTTCATATTATATTGATCTTATATTCATATCAGTTCATATTGATCTTATAGGATTGCTAATATGGATGAATTTTTCGATTTTGCTGTTGCATAGTTACAGAAGTAACTTACAAAGAGATGAACCACACTGACATAATGGTGAATCTCTCCAAAACGATCGGTGGCATTAATTATTTTAGAAACATCATCGAGATTTGGGAAACAGAAATAGATCGCAAGCATTATTCCTGAATTTTTGAGAGTTTTTGGAAAATAAATTGAGAATTTACCATTAAGGACAATAAAAATAGTCAAAGCAATGAGGATTTCTTTGGAGAATTCTTTGGTCGAGATTCGGGGTTCGGTTTGCATCTGAAAATAAGAAATTTCGAAAAATAATCAAGAAAAGTCTTTTTTATCAAATTACCCACTATCCCTGGAGGATTAATTTTTGTATTTTTCAATGGCAAAAGTCTTCCTTCAACTTTAAACAAGACAAAAAGACGTTTCAAAAGAAAGTATTGGACTTTAAATGGCAAATTTGTAAATTTCGTAAATTCGTTTTTAAAAATCAATCAAGAAAACTGCCGCTTTTTTGAGTGCACTAGAATTTTGTGCTTAATAACTGGTTTGGCTTTTCAAGATTTCAAAAAAACTCAGATTTTCAAATATTTTAACCTAACCTAGCAATAATTGGGTAGAAATTTGGCTAATTATTGGCTAGAAATTGATACAATCTTTTTTTCCTATCAATGAATAATTTCCCAAGCGAAGTCAGAACTTTGACGCTTACCTTTTTGGCTAGAATATGTGCATCTTGACTAATTCGTTTCTTGTGTCAACTTTTGAATATCATAATCCTACGGCTTTTCGTCAATCTATATAGCTAGACAAAAACCATCTGGACACTTGAAAAAGCGTTTTCTAAAGCTTGCTAGGTTTTGAAGACTACCGTAATCTTGATTTGAGCTTTGTTTAATCTACCTATCGATTTAAAAGGGTGTGGAATTTGTGGCAAAGCTACAGCCAAATTTGGAGCAAAAATTTCCCCTAGGGATTTAGGCATAGTGACGCCCAAGTTTTGGCCTCAGTCGCTCACCGCTCTTTCCCCTTTACGGATTCGAAAATGGAAAGCACTTTATACCAGCCTGGTATCCCAGATGGCCAGCGATTACGCACACAAAGAACACCTCAAACTCTTTAAGACAGAGTTTTTGCTTTGTAGATTTTATAAAAGATATAACAAGATGTGAAAATTGTATTTTGATGGTAAATGTAATCTTGGAGATTCTTAAAAAGGCTTGAAGTATTCGGATAATTGTAGACTAGAAAACTTTTTACGAGCTTTTTCTAGACGCTTCCAAATGATGTTTTTCACAATTTCTGGTTTATGTTTGTTTGTTAGATAATGTTCAAAACTTGTGTAACTTTTTATATACTGGAAAATGATAGGAATTTATGATTTTATTTATGATTTTATCGAGGCAATAAATAATGAAATCATGTTTAATGAACACTAAATGACAGATAAAATTCAAGAACAAGCAGATGGAGTGTTTTCACAGGTGACGGCAAAACAGCCGAGAGTTTCGATCTGCGCTGAGCTAGCCATCCATCCCGTACCTGCACCATTGCACGTCAAAGTTGCCGTTGATGTCGGTGTACCCGAAATAGCTCCATTTGCATCATGATCCATCTGAAATACGTCAAAAAAAATTCAGTTTTACATTTCTCAACCATTTTAAGGACAGAGTTCATCAAGTTTGCTGCTTGGATTTTGAAAGTAACAGTAAAAAGTCGTCACTCTGCTCAGAAATTTCATTTTCCACAACCTAGGCGAGCCTAAGTTGTATAATATTTTGCAAAAGCAGACTGCTAAACTTGATTTCAATTTCTTGTTTTAGAGGTTTTTTGATCTCTTCACGACTCACCGATATCACTGACTCAAAGCCTTCGACAGTTGACGTGCATTTAAAGGTTTTTGTCACGCATTTCCGCGCATTCACGCCCATTGTAACTGAAAATTTTAAAATTCAATTGACTTTTGCTTTTAAAGCCGAACCCGAAGCAAAAGCCGTTGTTCCCTCTGACGTAGTGTCGATAGTGATTGGTGGATTTGTGGCGTTGCACTTGTTGCAGACTTAAATAATTTTAGATAACTTAGATAACTTGAACAAATAACTTAAATAAAATGAGTTTTAGCCGTTTTTCTTGCCGGATCCAGCTTTTTTGAGTGAAATTCTACGCAAAACTCACAGCATTTTGCCAGAGGAAGCACCGGATCCGGAGCCAACTGAAGTCCACATTGGGGCTTTTTCGTTCCAAGATTTGTCACCTACCAATAACAATATTGAATAGTAAATATCGAGCAAACCAAAGGATAACCACTGCAACATTTCGAATTTGGACAAGGGGTCGATTGACAAGCGAAATTTCGAGTAGATGGACCACTAAACACAATTCGCACTGTTTAAAGGTTATCCGAGATTTGATACGCGGCTCACCCCGGAAAAGGGACGGCGCATATATAAAATGACCCACAGAATGGCTCCGCCCCCTTTGCCATTGGCAATCTAACTTTGAGCTCAAATATCTCGATGTTGGGCTGTCCAATTTATAAATTCTGGGTATCATTAGATGCGTCAAGTCTTTCGCTGTCATTTGATACAAAAACTATTTCAATTGGACAGCCCAACACCAAGATATTTGAGCTCAAAGTTGGATTGCCAATGAGAAAAGGAGCGGGGCCATCGTGGCACATTTTATATACGCCCCGCCCCTTTTCCCATTAGCAATCTACCTTGGGCTCAAATTTCTTGGTGCTGGGCTGTCCAATTTAAATATTCTTAGTATCATTAGATGCGTCAAGTCTTTCGCTGTAATTTGGTACAAAAACTATTTAACTTGGACAGCCCAACACCAAGATATTTGAACTCAAAGTTGGATTGCCAATGGCACTGGAGACGGGTTTGTTCCACAATCCTGTTTAAATGCTAACAATCTGTACTCACGGTTCAGTTCGTACTTTGACATGAATTCAGTTAAGAAATCATTTGTACAATATCGTTGAATTTTTCTAAATGCAAAATCAAGACCCACGTGCAAGGACATCCATTGGCCGTTGATCGACAGGTTCTTTTTTGAGCAATCGTCCCACAGAGGCCGCATGTGGCCGAGCATTTTGCGCCAGCCACAGCAGTCCACGCTGTCCATAAGCCTGAAAAATTTAAACTTTTTAAAATTTTTTATTAACTACCGCCAGGTGGACAAGAGCAATACAGCAGTTGTTCTAAAAACAAATGGTTTTTGATCCAAAGCTATGGCAAACTTGTAATCGTGCACGTTGGCGCTTTATAGTCATCAGCTCGGGCCGTCACATTGCCGCATAGATATTTTTTGGTTGTTGTGCTCAAGTACTGAAATGGTACTCACTGGTATTTGACTTTTTGACCTTTAATTTGCTAGATTCTTAATCATTTTACAAAAACAGATAACAGCATCGGTATCAGGGTAAAATTCTGCGTCATGTGGTATATGGCTCATGACATTTGGCCACCTCAGCCTTGTCACCTTTTCTTGTTAGTTTCTTCTTTCAGTGTAACTATTTCCCACCTTTTTGTACGGAGCAACGCAGGGAGTTCCGGTGGCGCACGGAGTCGGTGCACAGGGGATTAAACGCGAATAGACACCGCTGAAAGCAACCTTTTGACATAAGTCATTACATTATAGGTAATTGTAAAAGTTATGCAAATCTCAGACATTGTACTCACGTGCATGGGCAACCGAAATTCCACGAATTACAATTTCGCTTCTGCACTTTGCGCCCACCAAGGCCACAAGTTTTCGAGCAAGACGTGTAGTCGACCCAGTTTGACCAGATTCCTAAGATATGAAACGGCTAAATTAGCTATGGTTTTGAATAAGTTTGCAATTTATTTGGTTGTTTGGGTGTTTCTCAAAGTTTTCTTACTAATTTGAGCCGGTCAACAAGTTTCAAAAAATGTTTTTCGGGCTTAAACTCTCTCTCTTTCTGGCACTGTCAACAATTGTAATCATTAGAATTACATTTGCACACCTAGTAAGAGTTCAAAAAATGGGAAAAAGACAAAAGTTTACTGGTCAGTTAGTAAACAAGTGTTTTAGAATAGCTAATAGTCAATACGCAGCTCTGGAGCCGGATTTGCACTAGTTTTAAAGCAAAATTAGCTCATAGATTCACAGACTCCAGAAATATTGGGTTGGTGAATTGAAAACTGCCGGCTATTGTCATATGTGATAGTTTGAGCACTTTCTTCAAAAGAAACCCATTTTGGTGTCAATGGAAAAGTTGTAGAGAATCAAAAATTAAGCTTATATCCAAATTTTCAGAACGATTCAAAAACTGGTTTTCAAGAAATGCCAAATTTACGAATTTTCACAAAACTTGCATTTTAAGCGAAACTACTCAGTGTATCTTTTTGGAAATTTGGATATAAGCTTAATTTTTGATTCTCTACAACTTTTCCATTGACACCAAAATGGGTTTCTTTTGAAGAAAGTACTCAAACTCTCTATCGGACATCTCCAGTCCTCGATTTTTGAGTCTCACACTTGTCTCACACACAAATCAAAATCCTACTACGAAAGAGGAATCCGCAAATTGCCTGTAAAATGGGCAGAAGTCGTCAATGATAATGGAAATTATTTCGAATGAATTTATGGTTTTATGTCGAATAAATTTTAGTTCAAAGTCCGGCAGTTTTCAATGCACCAACCCGATAGATTTGAAAGTCAGACTTGCTTATTATCGATTCATAAGGCAATCACAATGAATAATAGAGAAGCAAGAGCAATGTTCAAACATGACCATTATCTTGATCAGCATCAAGAAAAGATACAAATTCGTTTAAAGAGAGAGAGCTCATGGTACTCACCTCCAGTCGGACATGTCGTGCAAGCAGGCAAAGCGGCTGAAACTCCATCAAGAACTGAAAATCTTTGCTCTAATAAGAATTTAGTTTCGAATTTACCAAAAACCCCAACGATTAGCAGTGAAGATTTGCGAAGCATTTTCACTTTTTGCCAAATGACCGTTTTCCCGTGTTGACCTCCGTTTTTCATAGGTGGAAGTTTTACATGATTTCCCTACCACAATAGCAATTATTCTCTGCTTTGTGCAACAAAAAAAGCTTTAAAAACGCCTGAGCTCAACAATTCGTTTCGTTTTTCGTTTTACGTGATGTTTACTCCCGTAAATCTGCTGCGTAAGCCCTTTTTTGCTAGGCTAAAAAAAAACTTTTGTACCCAGCAGCTTTAATTGGAATTTTTGACTATTCAGTGAATTTTGAACAATAAATTGAATTGAAAAGTGAAAAAAAATGAAGCTGATCTCCTAAATTTGATCTCATAAATCTATCAAATCATTGTGAGGCACTGGAAAAAGCTTTTAAAACCAAAATTCTGTACTTGTGACGCTGGAAGGCTCAATTTTTTAAAATTTAAAGTTCTAAAGCTTATAGAATTAATGAAAATCTAAAGAATATGCTCTTTTTTTTGAGAATAAACACATGATAAAGGAAATTAAAGGATAAAGGAAATTGCAACACTCTAAAAAAATTCCTGTTATGGAAAATGAATTGATTCGATTGATTGTTGCTTGAAAAAACAAACATTTTCTCATTAATTTCATCTACTTCCGAAATTCTAGAATTCTGGATATCAAAGCTTTTTCAATTTGAAATTCAAATTTAAAACCAAAATGATATCTGAATCTGAAACACGTAAAACTTTCAACTCTCTAATCCTTTTGAACTTCGATATTTGATTGTCGATTGGCTAAATCAAAAAGGATCAATTTGATGAAAGTGCACAAAACGATGAACAAAAACCCTTTCCCACAAACGACTTTTCCCAAAATATTTTGATCAACATTGAGACACCCGAAAACTCAGCCGGATTTAAATTTAGCCTTCAAAATTCGAGCCTTCGAATTCGAATTCGAAATCGAAATCCTCAAGCTTGCCTCGAAAATGAGCTAAATGAAATCGTTCATCTTTTTTTATTTAAAGCAAACCACACGTTTATCGGCTAATTATTCATATTTAAACGAAAATTTCAAAAAGGAGGACAAGACTTTCCGGTCAAACCAATATTATCCTTTCAGCGCCACAAGTACAGAATTTTGGTTTTAAAAGCTTTTTCCAGTGCTTCACAATAATTTGATAGATTTATGAGATCAAATTTAGGAAATCAGCTTCATTTTTTTTCACTTTTCAATTCAATTTATTGTCCAAAATTCACTGAATAGTCAAAAAACGCAAAATTTTGAAAAAAAATGACAATTTTAAAATTGCACTGAATATGGGAATTTAGTAAAAGGTAACTTTACAATCTTGTTGAACAAAGTTGACAAAGAATACAAAGTTGAACACAATCTACAATCTGGCCAAAAACTTTGCATTACCATTTGAAACGAAATAGTGTTTTTTCCAGGCTTTATTGAGAAATTAGCAAAAGCAAAACGTTTCCCGAATCCAAAGTTTTTCGTCTTTTTTATTTCTGTGGCTCATTATCGTTGGCCGAGATTTTTTGCGAAGCTTTTTGTCCAGTTGCTCTTGATGGACTCGATCTTTTCACCAAGAAAGAAAAGTTTCGCGAGAAAATTCTCGCAGTCAGTTTTCCAGAACCGCAAATTCACCTAATTAGGCTTTTTTCAGATTGTCTTTTTGGATATTTCAAAGCGCTTCAGCTCTGAACATTTCAAATATACTTGCTTGTATTGGGGCGAGTTTGTGGAAAATTTGCACACAGTGCTTTATCCCGGCGTTGACAGACAAAAAAAGGTTAAAAATCTCCTCTCTTGATGAAAACCGCCGTATGAAAGAACAACTGAATTGGCTTTGTCGAACGCACAAATTCTTTCAGCACAATGATGAGAAAATGCGGTCATATGTTGTTCTTGTTGTCGTCGAATCACCAGCTTTATTTAGCATCAGAAAGTTTCAATCATCTGGTAAGCAGAAAATTTGATTTCCAATCCTCATTCGCGAGAATTTATTTAAAGCCATCCACAAGTTGATTGATTCATTTATAAATAAAAATTTCAAAAAGGCGGACAAGACTCCGGCCAAACCAATAGCTAATAGGATTTGTAGCAGCTTTGGAGACTGGCTTGTACTGGCTTGTGGCCGATTTTATCTCTGAAAATACCCGGGCCAAGTGCCCACACCGGCGAACTCTCAGCATAACTGTAAAATCTCACTTTTCTCTGTGCGTGTACACGAAAAGGTCAGCTTTTTGACTCGAACATTGGTTTGGGTTGTGTGGTGTTTAAATGTGTTGAATCTGTTCTTATCTTTTTCTTCAAGCTCAACCGTTCCCCACTTTTGACCAAAGATCTGGCTCGGTTTCCCAAGAACAAATGTCTCCCTCGGTTACCAAAAGGCATTCATAAAATGTTTTTCGGCTTCAAAGAGCACCGAGCAGAGTCTTGGCAAAGAAATTTCTTTCATTAAAGAATTTTTCGTCGTCCACAGAGCATAGGGACCAAAAAGTCGGTTTCTTTTGTGTTTGAAAGCAATGGAACACTCAAGAATCATGAAAATTTCATTGAGTTTAGCGAAACGGAAAGGGAAAACGACGATTTTAGCTCACTTTTACCGTATTGGCACGTTTTTGCTTTAGTTCAGAAACAATGATTAAATTTACTTGGACTATCGCAGTTCTTCTAGCGTTTACCTTGCTTGATGTTGGACGAGCTGGGGTAGGTAAATAAAACAGTAACTAAGATACGGTCTTGTCAACAACCAAGATTTTCTTTAGCTCAGCCAGAATCCAACATACAAACCCGTTGGTTGTCCAAACTATGGGCTTTGCTTGAACAACAATTACGAGCCGGGACTTTCCTATTATCAATGCATTGAGGGATCGTGTGTGGTGAATAGGCATACTTTCGATTAACTAAATTTCTAGAAATCTACAGCTACAGCTACAGCGTTTACTAATCTACAAACGGTTTTTCAGTGCAACGACGGAACATCGAGCTCATTGGTGCTCGAAGAAGCAGCCGCGAATGCTCCAGCGAGTTCCACTGATCCCACGAATTACGGATACTGTGCGATAGGTGATTTAATGCCCATGAAATCTCACAAAGTAAAGGCAACAGTAGGATGTGATCAAATGAGATAAGTAATAGACCATTTGACGCGAAATTTCACGCTGATTCCGAATCTATTTTCTGGTTTTGCAAAAATGGCTTTCTATAAAAAGTTATATGTGTTTTAAGTTTTAGAGTGAAAATGAGAAAATTTGAAACGGAGTCGGGGTTTCACGTTATAAGGATTTCACGGGTCTCAAACGTGACTTGGTAGTGTCGTGGATAAAATGTTTTGCATACAAAACGAACGCTCCACTTCTCTGCGCGACTTCGATCTCTTTTCCGCAATCTTTCGATTTCGATTCCTTGTTTTGCGTTTTTCACTGTTCCCCGTGTACACACAGAACTCCGTTTACTAACTCTTTGACTGGAATAGTACATCAAAGTGATTTGATTTGATCTTTGACTCAAGCCATTTCCTAACTTCCTAATCATATGCATTTTCAGTCAAAAACAACTGCGTACCCGATCCATGCCCATTGACCTCGAATTGCACGAATCGCATTGACAATTATGTTTGCACTTGCTGGGAAAATTTCACTGGGCCTGGATGTAACATCAGTAAAGAAAATTGGGTTTTCGATAAAAATAATATTTTAGCTATTGAAACCGATTACTGTGCAAGTGCTCCATGTCAGGTGAGAATCTCAAGGTTAAAACTTGTGAGGATCCGACATTTTCAGAATGGCGGAACTTGTGTGGACAACGGGGATGGAACGTACAATTGCACGTGCGCCACGAATTTTATCGGTGAATTGTGTCAATGTGAGTCGTGGAGATCAGTTATGTGATGATGCTTTAGATTTTAAAAGAAAAGAATTGAGTTACGATTATATTTAGATACCGTAAATACTGTAATAGTATCCCACCCCCAAAATGACGGCGCGGAGTGTTGCGTAGTCTAACTTTGAACGAGTTTTTCTCGACACTGGTTTATGCTACAAGGCGCGCTTAGATATCAAAAAATAGCTGAAATTCAGGGCTATTTTTTGATACCAAAGACGCATTTTTTGAAAGTATGGGTTCTTTGCAAAAAATGAAATACTAAAGAACTAAAAACTTTTGCGACTACGCGACTGTACGAGGGGGGTGGGGTACTATTACAGTATTTACGGTAGGATGAATTTGACATTTAAATGTATTGATACTTTAGATACTAACACATGCGCTGTGGCGAATCCGTGCGAAAATAATGGCGTTTGCACGATGCTTTTCTCCGGTGAAGCATAGTTTGTTAACGAAATCATCAAGAAATCGTATCACTCTAGTTACTGTGACTGTCCGAATGGGTGGCAAGGGATACAATGCGCAATTCAGACGTTGACACGTAAGTTCATGAATGACTTTGACTGATTATTGATGTTGATAAGTTCCCGTAACCTTTCCTCTTGGTTTAAAGTTTATCACATCAAGTTGTGATACTAGGGCAACACTTTTAAAGATAATCAGCTTTCTTTTGCTTTCTTTTACTTTCTTTAGCACTATTACTCAGTAAAATACTCAGAAAAACTTTTTAACCGTTTAGTTTACTTCAAAACCATCATCAGGATCTAGATTTATCTACACAGCCCTTATTTTAGCTGCTGATATCACCCTTGGTTGTTATTCTTATTCAAGTTCTCACTCATCAAATTCCTTGACCGGTTACAATTGCACCGTCACTACTTCGAGCTATCCATCAGTTGATTTGTAAGTGATTCGATCACAAAAAAAGGAGAATCAAGCGAATTTAGATGCCGCCAGAATTTCCAAGCCGCTGCCGTCAAGGATTTAAATGAGCAATACTATTGTTAGTCTTACAATGCAAAATTTTGCACGTACAACTTCTAGGTGTCATGGGATCCACGTGTGCTGTCTGTGAGACAAATCCGTACGATGGTCAATCGACGTCAAGCAATGCCTGTTGTGGTCAGCAATGTTTCATCGAAGCGCAGCATATGAGCAAGAGTTACACGGGGTAAGTTGAGGAATGAGATCATGTTTATTAGTCTAATTGTTATAATGTCTGTTACGGTTGACTACAATAGACGTGACACAGTCCGGCTCAGTTAAATCCAGTTCAGTCCGGTGAACTGAGCCGAAAAGTGGATTTTCAGCTTGAATTTGATTGACAGGACTGAGGACTTGATGGACTAAAGCCAATTTCAGTCCATAGACTGACTGGATTGAGTTGAGAAATTGATTGGCTAAACCAATGTCTAATTGTTTTTCTATCCTTTAGATGGAATGAGACATGCGGCGCCTCTGCAACCGGTAGCTGCACGCCCTCCCCGCGAATGATTTGCTATCAATATCAAGACAATAGTTGAGTTGGATATTCATTTACCTTCAAAATTCTTTTTCCAGTTGATCCACTTGTTTGCAATTCGTCAATCTGCTCGAATGGTGGGGTTTGCGTGGATCGACCGGGGAATGCAACCACTTGCACTTGTCCAAGGGAATGGGGAGGAGCTCTGTGCAGAATTCGTTCGTTTCTAATTCAATAATTTAATTCTAAGCTATGTAAAATATATCTAGCTATTTATCTGAATAAATAATTTCAGCGCAAAGCCCATGCTCAAGCAACCCTTGCCAAAATGGAGCCGCCTGTCAGAACTCGACCGAGGGCTGGTCATACACTTGCACCTGTCCGGTTGGATATACTGGACCAACGTGTTCAAGTAAGTCTTGGTTTCTAGCTAAAACAAGCTAAACTTCTACCTAAACTAAACTTCTACAAGAATTTTAGCGAAAATCCCGTGCATACCGAATCCTTGCGCATTCGGCGGTTTGTGCACGAATTCGGACGATTTGAAGAGCTACACTTGCGATTGTTTGAGTCTCTACATGGGATCAACTTGCACAAGTTAGCTCAACATCTTAGCAAACACTTCAGATACCCAAAAAAAATGATCTTTAGTTCCAAACGTTTGCTACTCAAATCCCTGTATAAATGGAAACTGCTCAGTGGTGCAAAATGGTTTCAACTCGACGTGGACGTGTGCCTGTGATCCAGGATGGACAAGTACCAAGTGTAATCAGAGTGAGTCAAACGAATTTGCGCTCTTATTTGCAGTAATCAAAATTTTTAAAAATCTTTACTAAAAGGAACTAACTAAACTAAGCCTAACCCTGATATTTTATTTTAAAAAGTTTTTTAAACCCAACTTTTCTTTTAGTGATCGACTTCTGCGCGAGCACCCCGTGTTTCTATCAAGGAACATGTTCAAATGTAAGGAAATTGGAAACTTACTCTTGGCTACATTTATCTATTAAAAGTTTCTCCATTGAGGATATACAGATCATTTAACAAGTCCTTGAATGATAGACTTGAAACTATTAGGTTGATGCAAAAGTCTTTTTCATTTTTTTTTTGTCTGCCGTTTCAAGCCAACAAATGCACCAATTAAACTACGGTTGATTTCATTAGAAAAACCAATTATTTTTCTGCAAAATAACATTAAAACGGGTTTAAAAATATTTAATGCCTGGATTTTCTTGAGAGCATGAAGTCGGGTAGTCAAAAAGGGCTAACTCGATGATGCGGTTTAGACACCTTAACTAAAGAAAACCTATCTTCGTGTCAATAGATAAAAGATAGAGAAAAAAAAAGTTTGATATTTCGCCAAAATTTCAGAGAAATTCATTCAGCCAATTTTTCCGTAGAGTTTTTTATAGATTTTTACGAAAAAGGCGTTTTTCACTCTCGAATTTGCTTGAAAGTCAACCGAAATTGATTTAAAAAGATGGAAATTGAACAAAAAAACACTTTTTTATAGAGCAAACTATAGATTAATTGGTGAATTTGTTACTTTTTAACAGAAGTACGAAACAAATGAAAAAGACTTTTGCATCAACCTAATACTTTTCAAAAAGTTGTACGGGTAATTTTGCTCAACGTTGTAATCTAACATGTATTATCAAATTTTGTATCACCTTAATGGTCAGTTTTTAGATCGAACCCCCGCCAACCGATCCGGACGCAGCTTTCTTCACGTGTGCCTGCCAATCGGGCACGAATGGGCAATACTGCGAGAATAGTTGGATTTTAATCATAAAAATCGCTGAGAACAAGCTTATTTCAGATCCGGACAATTGTCAATACTCGACAAACTCAAGAGGAGTCCCAGTCAGCACTTGTAATGCAACCGATCCAGCTGTAAGTCAGTTATCTTCTCAAGCTCAGCTCAGCTCAAAAACTTTTGAAAGTCTGAAACCAAACAATTTTAGGGTATTTGTGTGGACGGCTTTAACACGTTCACTTGTGATTGTGGACCCGATTACACGGGTGCCGATTGTAGCATTCGTGAGTTCAATTTTAGCTTTTACGGATAACCCCCACTTTTCAGCGATGATCGTCTACAACGCAACGATGCTCATCTTTGGCCCAAATGTAGCCGTCAGCGCGGACATTATCAATGTAATGTTTTTCTCCATTCCCGTAAACCCAACCATTTCTAGTTATTGACCGACCTTCTGAGCAATCCAGCGAATATCAAAGACATGGTACCGTTTATTATCGGAATGGAGCCAGAGAGCGAGCGGTATGGAATTGAAAGCATTCAGTTGAACTGCAAAGACTGAATTTGCATTTAAAATCGGCATTTGGTGTGATGTTTTCAAGCATTTTGGCCGAGCGGTTGGCAGACTTGGCTAACGTTTCATAGGTCAAGGTTTCAATCCCGATTACGGAAAATGAAAGGGTATAAGAGCTCTGATTACCCTCTCCTGGATGGGGTCTGTCCTACTATGCCTTGCTATTAGATTCTCAATCTACAATATGCCACAGTATGCCCAGATTGTGGCAAATTTTAGTTTTTAAATACAGTAACAGCGTTGAACTTTGAATCTCAAGCCAAGATTTTTTTTCAGCGAAGAAATGAGCTGGGACTACTCGGATATGTTCGCTTGGGCATCTTTTGAGGAAAAAACTCTTCAATTAGAGTAAACTCTTCATATTTTTAGAGAATCTTTTTATTAGGTTGATGCATAAGTCTTTTCGTTCCTTTTCGTCTGCCGTTTCAAGCCAACAAATACACGAATTAAACTACGGTTGATTTCATTAGAAAAACCAATTATTTTTCTGCAAAATAACATTAAAACGGGTTTAAAAATATTTAATGCCTGGATTTTCTTGAGAGTATGAAGTCGGGTAGTCAAGAAGGGCTAACTCGATGATGCGGTTTAGACACCTTAGCTAAAGAAAACCTATCTTCGTGTCAATAGATAAAAGATAGAGAAAAAAAAGTTTGATATTTCGCCAAAATTTCAGAGAAATTCATTCAGCCAATTTTTCCGTAGAGTTTTTTATAGATTTTTACGAAAAAGGCGTTTTTCACTCTCGAATTTGCTTGAAAGTCAACCGAAATTGATTTTAAAAGATGGAAATTGAACAAAAAAACACTTTTTTTTAGAGCAAACTATAGATTAATTGGTGAATTTGTTACTTTTTAACAGAAGTACGAAAAAAACGAAAAGACTTATGCATCAACCTAATAGAATCGATTCCAATCTTTTTTACAATCTTTTTACAATCTTTTCCAGAAGAGATCTCTACAAATGGAATGACGTCACGTTGGGCAATTGCTATACATTCAATCATAGAAATAACACTCAAGCGCAATACTTGGGAAGAATGACGGGAATATCTGGAGGTGAATGTAAAGTGAATCTTCCCCATAAAAGCAAGCAATTTAGGCTTTCTGGCCATGTTGAAAGTGAACAGTAATGACTACTGTCCTTGGATCGATACAATGGGGATTCAAGTGAGATTTTGAACATCTACAACAAGCCACTTAAATTCAGGTTTTTGTTCACCCGGCTGAGGAGGACATTTTCTCCGAATCAGTGGCTACAATGGCTCAACCAGGCGGTCAAACCGATATCTTTCCATTTATGGTAAATACTGGTAGACAATAGTTATAGTGTATACTGTAAAGTCTAGTTATTTTTGCCAAACTGACTTCTTTATTCACGATATTTTCCAGACAGCCTACACACGATTGAATGGTCGATACGGTACTTGTGTGAGTGAAGCAAATGAGGTCAAACAGTACTTCTACACCGGCGCCTATGCCACTGATGTGAGTGCAAAGTTGAAACATTGTCTAATAAGAATATTACTATTGTATATCAAGTTTGTCTAAGTTTCAGTGTCACTCAAAAAGTTCTTATTACAAAATCTGATACTTTTACATCAATTTACAATTTAACTTGCTGACGGGGCAGGAATGCAGAAATACCCAAAACTTAAGAAAGTTAAAGATGTGGTCAGCTTTGAGTTGCCTTGAGTTCTAGGGCTGCCTTCAATCGTGCTATCAACAAGCTTGTGAGAACATTTGTGGCTGTATGGATCCTCGATATCCGATGGCTGAGAATGCGGCTGCTTGCAGTTTATCACAAAGTAAGAGCCAAAAAAGCAATAGAATTCAAAAACATTGCTAGGAACTTGTGTCGACGATGTGACGACAAATCTCGGTGATCCGTCCTCATGGGACAATTGCACTTGTCCAAATGCTTGTGCTGAAAGAGAATATGATGTCGCATGGACAAGAACAGTTTATTCACAAAGGGTCGGTAAAATTAAATCAGTTTTCATTCATATTCTTGTTTCAGCAAGTTCAATGCAATCAAACGGGAATCAGCGTCGCGAACTGTACTTTTGATTGGGAGGTACTTGAATTTAAGATTTCAAAACTATTAGGGTGGTGCAAAAGAAACGGTCGATTTGACGGTAAATTCAAAAAAAAGATGGCGTTTGATGGTGACATGATCACAATGGAATATTTTCGCAAGATCTCGAGCAGATTGGCATGGATCGGCCTGAATAACGTCCCTCAGCTTGGCTTCGTTCACGACTTCTGGCCTCGAACCGTGCTCGTAATCTTCCAAAGCCTCGTCTCCCTCTGGGAATCGTTGAAACCAAGTCTGGCACTGCCTGAGAGACAAACTGCCATCTCCGAAAGCAGCGCAGAGAGAACGATGCGATTCGGCAGCAGACTTTCCAATTTTGAAGTTAAACAGTAATGCTGCTCGTAGCACAAATTTTTGCTCGACCATGATCTAAATAAAAAATATAAGCACTTTTAAATAAAATAAAAAACAACCAAAAATTCAAATGTCGAAATAAATAGCAAACAAATATGCGAAAAAAACATCAAAAAAATAATGCCGTTAGCATCGCTCGTTTCTCATAAATAAGAGCTGATACCCAACGGCAGTTTCTTTTGCACCACCCTAATATATTGAAATTTAGGATACCGTTCGAGTCGCAATAATCATGACTGATTACAAATTTCAACTCTTTGCTGAAACTCCGGCTGAATCGGTGAGTTGATTTGGATTAAACTCTCTGAACGTTTTGAAAATCCCAGTCTATTCGATGTTACAGGAATCTAAATAAACAATAATAAACGCTACAGTAATTCAAGGGCCTGAAAGCCAGAGCCAGGTTAAAAGCCAGGTCAAGCTTTGGCTTTAGTTATAAGGTCCTACACTTACTGTAGGACTAGATCAGGTCAAAGAGTAATGCCAACTCAGAACTTGCCCTTGTTTTGACCCCAAAAATGCTGCTAAAAGAATGTAAATAAAATGAAAAGTAAGTTGCTGTAAAAATACACGTTTAACTCTACTAATCCCCATTTTACAGCTCAACTCATTCATCGGCAATCTCGGCGGTTTGTTGGGTGTCTTGATGGGCGTTTCAATGATCACTTTCATCGAAGTCGCTTTTCTCTTTATAACCATAATGGCCGTTTGTTGTTGTCGGTCAAAATAAAGGAAATTTTTGAATTGGAATTTCAAAACAAATACAAAATATGCCCCGAAATTTGAAAAAAGAATTGCATTTCGTAAGCTTACCAAGAAACGTTCCAAAAGTGGGTGTGAGACTTTTAAACGGCGATGAGATGCAAACGCCTATCGGAAATGACGCCTATTTTTTGCTTATGCTCAAAAATGGTCAAAATGACGAAAACTTGAAAACTTTTTCATGCTAATAAATCCTTTTTATCATGCTATACGAGTTAGCGAAAAGCCGACCGAAACGACTTTTCATGAAAACACAGAGCATAGAAGTTAGGCATATTGGCATACGACTTGGTATAAATGATTAATTCTTTCATTAGAAAGCAGAGATACCGTATTCACCTGGAACAGCGACACTTTGAGAGTACTTGCATTTTTTCAGTGAAACCACAAAGTTCTTATGTATAAACTTTTCTGCAAGTTTATTGAGGCCATATAACGCACGTTCACTTTCCTCTATTCCCCACATTCTTTTCTCAAATCAATGTGCCCCCAAGTCGATTTGTTGTGATCTTTTTATTTAAGGGATCTCCATTCCTCAATCACCATAGACCATTTGTTGTATGCGTATGTGTTTCCTTGATATTTTAATGTTGGTGATACAATTTGAGTAGTTCTTCTAGTTTTTTTTAATCTAATACTTTTTGTAGGTGGCACCATTGGCATAAATTGACCGCGAAGGGGATCGGAATTGAGGGTGCTTTGGAACCGTAGTCGGCATCTTTGGCTATGCACGACGTCGCTAGTTGGCTCTGTTGAGAAAAATGAACTAAAGTAAGGAGGCCTAAAACTTGTAACCCAGATATCTCGCGTTACAGGCCTCGTAGCGTTACAAATGTAGCTGCAATCAGGATTGGGAAAATCACAGAGAATCTTGACATTAGCTATTTATTATCAAATGTTTAGTAGCCATTTTTATTTGAAATCTATAGAAAACACAAAATATGTAGAGAGCAATGATTTATTCTTTTGTTTGCAGGTTTAATATTGATCCGATCAAAAATGAGCTGTTTTTTTGGAATAATGATTTGTGCTTTTTGTTGTAATGAAACTTGAAAATACGCTCGAACTTATCTCTTCCCACACCCGAAGTATGATGTTTATATCATCGATACCCCTGGCATGGGAGATGTTCGTGGAATTGAGCAAGACAAGGAGAATACAAGGAAAATTCTGAATGCAATTGCAGCTTACAAGAATTTACATGCAATTTGTCTATTGTTCAAATCGAATGACGCTCGGATGACGTTGAGCTTCAGATATTGCATTGGAGAGTTGCTACTTCAATTGCACAAAGATGCCGCCAAGAATATAGTGTTTTTCTTTACGAATGCTCGCGGGACTTTCTACAAACCAGGGGATACAATCGTCCCTTTAAGAGCTTTTCTCGATGAACTTCAAGCGAAACACGGGATTCAAGTGGCTCTTGATCCGAGCAAGATCTTCTGCTTGGACAATGAGGCTTTCAAATTCGTTTGTGCCTATCACGATGGAGTTGAGTTTAGCGAAGATGACATCAAAAATTTCGAAGCGAGTTGGGCAAAATCGGCTGATGAGACGCATCGCTTCCTTGACTATGCGGCTGGATGCAAACCGCATTCTGTTGACAAGACTCTCTCAGTGAATCAAGCTCGTGGAATCATTCTCCAACTGGCTAAACCTTTGGCCGACATCAATGAATTGATTGAGACGAACATCAAAGTGTATAATGATCGAAAAGTCGAGATTGAAAACACGAAAGCGACGATCAATGACTTGCAACAGAAGTTGTTGATCCCACAAATTGGGATCAAAACCGAGGAGCTCAGCTATCCGATGGCCGTCTGCACTGGCCCAAAATGCATCGAAACGCAATCGATTCCGAACAGTGAACAATTGCAAACGATCTACAAACAGATTTGTCATGATCACTGTGAATTGGGCAAAGTTGATCCCGAGAGATTCCCCGAACCTCGTCTACAAAAATGTTGGGCAATGCAGGGTGGGCAAAGTTGTACAGTTTGTGGTTGTTTCTGGTCTACTCACATGCACATTCGCTTCAAGCAAGTGAAAACGAACGAATCGGTTGAAGATGTGAACATAAAGAATGCTATTCAAACAAATGAAGACGCTCGGATCACAAAGCAGAAGATTATCGAATCGTGTGAAAAAATCGTGAAAGAATACAAAAATGAACAGAAAACGGTGATGGATGCGAGCATTCGTTTCGCGGTTTTCTTGAAGCAAAACGCAATTATGACGTATAATGACGTTTTTGAGAAATATGTGGAAAAGTCAATTGAAGAAGAGGAAAAATGTATCAAAGCGGGGGGAGATCGAACGAAATTGGCCAATCTGAAGCGCTGTTTGGATGAGTATCGACAGGGTATGTTGAGTTTGGAGTCCAGTAAGAATCTAGAATTTTTAAGCAGGACTAAGGATAGGTCATTGTAGCTACACTTTGCGCTTTGAAATTACAGGATTTTCAATTTCAAACGCTCTAGAAAACCTAGAAAGTTTAGAGGAACTCATTCAAATGATAAATAGCTGATAGTATCTAAAACCTAGTGGTATTTCTTTAATCAATCAACCACTTTACAGAACGAGCCGCGATCGAGCATGCCTTGCAATCCGGCGGAAACCATCAGCAACAGATCACCACTGATGATGTGAAGAATATAAAAGCCATCCTCTTCGCATTGCCTCATTTTGGAGCAAAACTCAAAGAACTCTTTGAGCAAACTGTGTGCGGATATTCGATGAATCAACAACAAAGCGTGCAAAAGTTTGTCCCACCAACGTACACTGCAGCCTCTTCTTCTGGTTCTGGCCATCTTCCCCAAATGAGAGAACAAAAAAAGAGAAATTTGTCTGCAACCTCTTCTTCTGGTGGGGAAAGAAGTGGGTTAAGTTGAATATTTAGATAAAGACAAAGATATTGTTGTTACTTAGTGTTGATCTAATAATTTTTATCGGATTACAGTACTAAGCTTTGGATCTTACAAAATTCTTGGCAAGCTTCAAAACACTTGAACATTTTCAGAAGTGGTCTCATCGACGGTCTCGTCGAGGGTCTCGTCAACAGTCTCATCAAGTTTCGCCGCAGCTTCTCCAAATGAGAGAACAAAAAAAGAGAAATTTTTGAAGAGAAACAGACCTTACAACAGAAATTCCAATCAGCTATCTTTTTATTTAATTTTAATATCTTTCTTCTGCATCAAATTTGGTCTAAAGTTTTTTTTTGTTTTCCTACCAAATTTTCCATCTTTTTTAAAGTTGACAACACAGTTTCTTCGTATTTTTGTAATTTTTCAGATAATTGTAAAATAAACTTTTAAAATTACTTTGGCAACAGGATTTGGTGCAAATGGCAAATGCAAAATGATGCTAATGCTTTCAAGGCTCGAGTGATTCAGGACTCGCGCAAGCAGCATTTGCCCGATTTGGCCACTTTTAGTGGTGATCCTGAGATCCCAATCTTAATTCAATGGATTTCAATGTTTCGAATGTTCTTGAAACAACAACATGCTCAAAAGCGAATCCCAGCATTGATTCGCTTCAGAAATTTCTTCAAAAAGCATGTGATAAACTCGATGCCTCTTTCCATTTGGCCACGATGAATGCATTTCTCAAATGTCACAAGGCCCATAAATATCTCTTGAAATGGAATTAGGCTTTCTTGTTTAATATTACTTTAAAAACCAATTGTTAAAGTTTTTGAGTTGATTTCTCTTTTATCGGTTTCTATCTTTAAAAAAAATATTAGTTGCAATAATCCTGCCGCACCCCGTAGAATGAAAACGCCTTTAACTCAAAAAAAGCTAGCTTTTGTCTATTAACGTTTTTGTTTGCAGTAGAATGCCTAAATCTTAAATTTTTAACGTCTCTTTCTCCCTCTTAGCCACTAATCATTGATAGATGCAATAAGGTGCTGGAGTAGGTATGTACAGGGTGTCCGAAAAAAAAGTAAGTTTGCCTCAAATCTCCCCAAAATCTTTAGTGGCACTTGGTGGTCCCTCTGGTCCCAAAGTGTTTTTTTTCCTGTGAGGAAAAGAAATGTTGTGATGCGTTTGTTTATTCTAAAGATTTTTTTGTTTTGCAGCCAATAAACAGCCGATACCGAAAGCAAAATCTTGAAAATTGGGCAGAGAAAGTGAAGAACTTGACGATTTATCATTTGCTTAGATAGCCAACATATAATCGTGGAAATATGTATTTTCGCCTTGGTTTCTGAGTGGATGTTAGCAAAAATTAGAATGAACCCTTCATTTTCCTTCCCCGTTTCCCCCTCGCCTCAATTCTGATTTTGCTGCTTTACTCCTGACTTTAAGCTTGGAGAATCTGCCCGAGAATCGCATAACTCTATTTCAAAGGCCTATGGCAAAGGTAGTATTAGCGAAAGCCAATGTTATCGATGGTTTGAGCGATTTCAAAGTGGAAACGAAAGACTAGAAGATGAGCCTCACGAAGGAGGTCCTCGAAAGCTGGATGAGTCTCAACTTTTGCAAATTATCGAAGAAGATCTCACTTGCACCAATCGGAAGTTGTCGGAAATGTTCAATGTTCATCATAGCACCATTCAAGAGCATTTACATTTGATTGGAAAGCGAAACAGATGCGAAAAATGGGTCCCACATGAACTCACCCTCAATCACAAAATTGCCCGTATGAACACTTGTTCAATTTTGATTCAAAAATCAAAAGCGCATGATTTTTGGAAATCAATTGTTACTTCTGATAAAACGCGGATATTATATGATAAGGTTAAGCGCAAGCACCATTGGCTATCACCAAAGCAAGCCCCGGTTGTCACGTCAAAACCTGGTCTCCATGGAAAGAAGTTGATGTTGTGCGTATGGTGGAACTATCGTGGATTGGTTTATTTGAAACTGTTCAAACCGGGTAAAACTGTCACAACTGACCCGAGCCGGCCGCCAAAACTCGAAAATGGACATGTCTACTCTAAAGCAGTTCATCTCCGATCAGCTGTTCAAGGATTCCCAGGAAGCCAGGAAGTCGAAAATGCGGTCACCAACTATTTTTCGTCAAAAAGGCCCCAGTTCTTTGAAGCTGGAATTATTGAATTGAGCAAAAGATGGCATGAGGCCCTAAATCATAATAGAGAATACCTTTTCTACTAAACCTCTTTATTTATTGTTTTTTGAAATAAAAATTCGGGTCAAAAAAATTCGCATTATTTTCCCGCCAACTTCCGCCGCCAAATCGAACCATGGGCTTGACGTACTTGTGTAGAAGACGCTTTCCAATAGGTCGTCTGATCAATGGAGATTCATCTGATTGATGGAGATTCACCTTTGTTTCATCAGAAAATATCGCTTCACTCAAATCATCGCTCGTCCAACTTTGGTTCTTTCGGGCG